GTGCTCCAGAAAGATTCCTGTGGAGGGTAAGCAAAATATTATTAGGAGTTTCAATCTTTTAGAGTCCACTGATATATAAAATTCTTATTTATGTGGACTCATTAGTATTGGTCCAGTCAAAAATAGACGATCTCGACTGGATAAAGAAAATGCTCGTTTAAAAGATGTTGTAGCTCTGTATAAGATTAGATATTTATATGAAAATAATTTTACGGAATTAGAAGTGTGTCGAGATGAGTTTATAGCTTAACATGGCATCACCAGACGTAGAATTGAGTATTTACTTACATCTTTGAAAAGTACTGGCATGCCTCCAACCGATAAAAAAGAAAAATACTCAAATAAACCATTAAAACTGTTTGATGATACTCGAAATAAAATTAAAGGTAGAGGCAGTCATTATAGTATCAAAGACTCTCAGTAGAGCTGAAGAGCTTAACATAAAAAAATGTGGGAAATGTTAAATAGATGCATCCCGGCAACCACGGACAGACACGTGCAGCACATGTGACGAGTACCCAGCTAAAATTAAATGTCTGGAGCATGAAAAGCAAAAACTAGATCAAACAAAGAAGGAAGACATAAGAAACAACTGACCACATCACATGACCTGCATTTATGAAAAGCAAGATCATTTTATTCATTTAAAAGCAATCAAAGTTTTCAAGTCATAAATCAAACGTAAAAGAGTAAATATGTAGACTTCGGTAAAAATTTTCCTAATGCCCAAAATTCCTACTAATGATGTATACTACAAGAGACAGTTGTCCAATTATTTGTTCAACGTTCACGTTCTCTTTGACTCAAGAAGTGTCTTTTATGTATACTCAGAAACCATCGCCAAAAAAGGTAGTGATGATGTTTCTTCTCTACTGAATCACTTTGTAAATAATTATCTTGATTTAAATGTAAGATACTTGGATTTGTTTTGTGATTCCTGCGGTGGGCAAATTAAGACTTACACCCTTTTCCGCTACTTGCATAATCTTTTTCACCAACAAAAAAGGTTGGATTCTGTACGAGTTACTTTCCCTATTAGAGGCCATTCTTATATGGAAAATGATAAAAATATGGGAATCATCAATCAGAAAGCCAGAGTTGAAAACTGTGAAGGAATTATGTGATATTGCTCAATGTTGCAGAAAAAAACCTTCACCCTTTGTAGTGGAACATATTTCAGAAGACAATCAACAAATTTTTAAAAAATGGACCGAACACTTTTCAATTCAGACAATAAAGCAATTCGAAGTTTTAAAAGAACACCCTAGGTTAATCAATTATAGAGACACATACTATGGGACATGGATAGAAAACCTATCGTTCTCAAAAATTTGAAGAGAAACAGCCAATTTCTCCTTACAGAAATATCTTACGCAGGTAAACCTATACTCATTATACTGTTTGACTTTTAAATTTTTCTTATTCGCTCCAGGTAAAAATTTGCCAATTTGCAGAGTTTGAAAAAGTTCTGTGGAAAAGAAGCTCAAGATTATTTTTCCTCACAGGTGCATAATTGACTGGAAATATGAAGGACTTCTTTCGTATAAAGAAACTTTCAATTTAAACAAAAAAATTTGTTAATTTTCTTACACTAATCGAACTTTTAATTTTTCATTTGAATTTAGTTAGAGTTCAGGTTCACTATATTAGTTATGTAGATATAAAGCTACTTGTTGATTGAAATAAACATACTTCAAAAAAATATTTGTCTTTAATTTCAGGGGGAAAACGGGCTACGTCACGACCAATTATCAATAAATTATTTTTCTATCAAAAAGTTTTTAAATGCTTTCAATTTACGACCCAAAGATCCCAGATAGAAAACATATTGTTAAAAAAAAATTTGTGAATGCAAGTATTTTAGATTTTGTAGCGTTTTGAAATTTAAAATTGATTTATTTCAAAATCATTAAATTTTACTTAACCCGTTTTTCCCCTGTACCCTTTATATCACATGACATAGCGGAAAATTTTAAAGTTAAAAACATTTTAAAGTATATTCCTTTAACAGTTTTGTAAAAAAAATGCGAAATTGTCCAGATAAATAGTTTTTGAGATATGACCAAACGCCACCCTTAAAGAATTTTTTCATTTCCATATAATTATGATGTAACTAAAAAATGTCTGATTTAACTGTAAATATACATTTTTACGTTTAAAAACTTTTCAGTTGTTTCTTTTCTTCCTTTATTTAATTAGTATTTCTTAATCTATCTATTTTCTTGTGTTCATACATTCTCGTTACCCTTATACTATAGTTTTCATTCCTTCCATTGTTAATTAAGCCACAATAATATAATAACCAAAATTATATGTTAATATACCTGCACAATTTAGAAAGTACGCTTATAATAATACATCAGTGATAAATTAGTCAATAACATTTGACAAATTATTATTGTTGTCTATAAACATTAAAAAAATCGAATCTAACTTAACCTCAAAACCGCACAGCGGTCTATTATTTAATATTCTTTTTATGTTAATTAGCCGCTTATTTATTTAAACAAATAAGATATCGTAGAGACGCTAACAATTTTTTTATACATACAATGAACGATGTGGGAAGAAAATTCGATATAAGTGAGAAATATAACGAAATTTTTATAATTTTCATATTTGGAATTCCTCGATGGACTTACGAAAGAGCTTCAGTTGTAATTAGATCATTGGCGTGCGATCACTAAATAATTGTGATGAGGAAATCAATTGCAAAAAATAATTTTTGAGGATACCAAATAAAAATATGTTTTCTTGAAGGTGCCCTTCGAAAAGTCAAATTACAGTTACGAGGAATATAACTATTTTATATTAAGTATCATTATTAGATTAGATTAGATTTAATTAGGACTATGGGCCATGTGGCCTCCTCCACCTCGACGTTTTCAGATCTCTTGTGGATATCCTTTAATCATTGTTTAGAGTACCTTGTCTAATTCGGTCTTTTGTAGTAGACTCCATGGACTGGGAAGTAGTTCTCCGGTATAGCTAGTTGCCCTTGGTTTTTCTTCTCCAAGTGTAAGGAATCTCAGTCTTGCTAGACCTTCGCAATAACGCAATACGTGTTCTGCCGTTTCCTCCTCTTCTTGACAGAATCGGCACAAGGCCTCTTCTGTCAGACCAATATTGTACATATGTTTGTTAAGCCTACAATGCCCTGTTAATGGACCTACTAGTACTCTAGTATTTTTCCTATTAAGGCTTAGTAGATGCTCGGTGAGTTTAGGCGATGGTCCTTTTAAGAAATTTTTGACCTGTCTCTGTCCTGGTGAGTTTTTTCACCACTCCTGAGATTTTTTAAACATCCACTGCTTTTTTTCATGTTCTGATAGTTGTTTTTGTTACACCACAGAAGGGTTCTGGGCCAATAACAGCATTTCAGGCTCCTTCTCGGGCTAGTAAATCAGCCTCTTTATTGCCCTTATGTCCCCTGTGGCCTGGTACCCAGGCTAAGGTTAGTCTGTTTTAACTACTGTTAGGGCTTCCAAACAGTCCCACACAAGCTTTGAGTGTACCTGCATGGAACTGAGTGCTTTTAACGTCGTTTGACTGTCTGAGTATATGACAATGGTTTTTCCATTTACCTTCTGTCTAAATACTTCTTTTGCGCAGTGATGTATTAATGCTATTTCTGCCTGGAATACTGTCGCATGTTTACCTAAGCTCAGTGAGATTCCTGTCTTTGGCTTGGTACTATATATACCTACTCCTGAACCTTCATGGGTTTTGGAGCCGTCTGTATACCAGGTGAAATCTGCATGAATAGGAGGTCCTCCCGTCCACGCTTACCTGTCTGGTATAGTTACTTTATATTGCTTTTGAGAGCTATACTTTGGGAGAATTTCGTCTGAAGGCATTTCCATTATTTGGTCGTTCTCCAACTCTTTATATAGCTCGCTGTAGTCGCGTCCATGCAAATTGCTTATGGGTGATGAACCTTTGTGCAGTCTGTATGTGACAGACCTGGCTTCGCCTTAATATAAAAGAATATCAAAAGGATTACGTTGTTGATAATTGTGCTCTAAGAAATGAATATACCGTATCCGTATTTTTGGATATTAAACCCAATAGAGTTAGTATAGGTGCAGTTAAAAGGAAATGTAAGAAGAAACAACGTGGTTCCAATCTTCTTCTGCTGTTCTCCAATTAATTAGAGAAGAAATAACAAAAATTACAGCAACAAGGGGGTGCAAAACGATTACGTTAAACATTTGTCAACATTAAAATAATTAATTATAAATTTATAAAATACGGATGATGAAAGTCTGAAGTTTAAAAGTAATGTGTAACAACAATAATAATAATAAATAATATTTTAATTGTATCCGGGCTGTTATGCCGTGGTCTTTGTTAGTTACTACTACCAAACGTTTCAGCTGCAACTGAGGTAGCCATCTTCAGTGCCGTTGACGAAGTACTCTTCTCGACTATCAACTGAAACGTCGAAAAGAGTACTTCACCCACTATTGCGGTATTCTTTCAATACTCGACTCGGTAAGTTGTTGACTTTGTAACTTTGTCATTTATTTTCTAGAAAATTAATCTTCGAAAAAGAGAGATTTTTAGGAAATTTAGCAAACTGAATAAAAACAAAAAAAAACTTTAAAGTTTCATGTGTAGGGCAACATTCTAAAACTTTTAATTTTTCTGATTATTCTAACAATGTATTTAAAAGTACAATCGTTAGCATAATTAAAATAAGGTGTTTGTTTTAAAAAATAGGCTCGATAATTTAGAAAATATTATTCATAAAGTTTAAAATTTTATATTCTATTAAACCCAACGCCACTTAAGTTAATCTGAGACGAGACCTGCGGTTTCGAAAACTGTTTTGATATTCGATATTACGTAAATCGATACCGCCAAGTCTTTGATTTACGACTTTTATATAGACATTATTTTATACGTGTCCCATTTAATAGTCTGTTCACATATGTTTTAGAGATTTATCAATTATAATTATACCGAATTAACTGACATGTGTTTCTGTTTTGTTGCAGGAAATTAAAACAACCAGGAAAGCTAGTTTTCTATTTGTTTACTATCATGGTAAGTTGAAACTTCTCTTTTTTTTGTTGTTTGTTGAGTGTAATAATTTATTTGCGCCACTAGTTTGACTGTCAGCACCTCCGTGTCATTCAGTAAAAGTAGGATAAATATATTTTCTAACGTCGCTATCAAATTTGAAGATAAAAATATCATCTGCTTATCTAGAAGTACCTGTTTATAGTAAATATACTTATTTGCTAAATATTTTGCTAGTTTTACAGAAATTTATCTAAATTAATTTTATGGTAATTTAAGATCTGCTACAGAAATAGTATGGTGCTGTTTGTAACAATACCGCTTTAGAAATTAATTCTGTGGGGGCTGACTGTTTTAAGCTAAATTGGTAATTTACTGAAAACTAAAATTTTGGAGATTCTAAAACCGAAAGTAATCCAAAATTGAACTATGCAGAAGGACACTATTTTCAAAAAAAGTAATATTTGTACCATTGAATAGAGTATAACGTGTACTACAATATGATCGCAAAATCTAAAAAGTACCTTTACAAGTTACGTAATAGTATATAAATAAATAAATAAATCCTTTATTCATCTATCAAATGTACAGATACATATGTTTGAATACACAACAAAATGTACATTTATAAGACTTGTCAAAAAACAAGAAATAGAACAATACAATATATAGCACTTCCATTTACAACATATATCTGAAATTACTATAATAAGAATAAAAAATGTTTATTTATAAATCTAAAATTAAATTAAAATGATTAAAAAATCTGCAGGAATTCTTCTACAGAATAAAACGCATTTTCAGCTAAATATTTAAAAAGTTTGGTTTTAAAAACATTATAACTACTATTACCCAAAAAGTTATATGATTAAAATAGATGATACCCTGATAACCCGCAGAACCCTGCCCAATGGTCAGCCGGGAATATGGCAGTATTAAGTCATTGCCTCTCCGTGTGTTGTGTTCGTGAATAATGTTATTTCGAATATATTGAGATTCATTTTTCTTAATGTTTAATGTGGTCAAATATATAGGGTGTCCCAGCTAAAACTTGTCATCCCCCTAATCTCCGAACTCGTGAAAAAAATTGAAAATCGCTTAGACCCGTCGATTTTTATTTCAAGGGGGAACACTTTCACTAAATACATCATCATTGTGTTGTCAACCCCCTCATCCCCAGCACCCCTTACTTCAAAATTTTCAATGGGACTACTTACTTGTGATACATCATTTTAAAGGGAATTTAATCCCAAATACATCGGTGTACTGAAATTGAGGATCGATCAAGTGTTGTTGAAGTTTTAATGAAAACTAAGTTTTATCAAGATATTTTTATTTTTCATCACCTAAAATGTTATCATCGTAAGAAGATTCACTGTGGGAACGCCACTGTATTGAAAATTAATATGCTTTCAGAAATAATAGATTAAAAGGTAAGACAGTGGTTTTAATAATAAAAAAAAATTATCGCCATGTCTTTTTGTATACGCATATCTTTGTTGAAGCCTTGGTATCTTGATGTATTCGATTCACTTCATTCAACAATTTGAAAACTGTCGAAAATGGTTTATACTATACAAGAGAGGATATCCATTGTAGCTGCGTATTTTGAAAATGGACGATGTGCTAGAGCTACGGCTCGAAGTTTCAATGAAATTCATCCAGAAAAAACCACATCATATCAGTACGTGATTCAATTGATGAATAAGTTCCTGGAGTCGGGATCGGTGCTGAATAAAAAACATGAACGAGAGACGCCTATGAGAAATGAGGGGGTCGCTGTTGCAGTTGTAGGACATGCAGTGATGGACAACATTCAATCTTTAAGACAACTTGAGACTATTTCCCGAGTTTCTAAAAGCAGCGTACATCGAATTCTAAAAGAAGCAAAATTCCATCCTTATAAAATACAGAATGTACAAGAATTAAATGAAGATGATCCTGACAGACGTACAGAGTTTTGTGAAATCATGAGTCAATTATTGATTGGTGATAATAATTACCTCTACAATATGTGCTTTTCTAACGAATCTTCTTTTTATTTAAATGGACATGTGAACAGGCACACTGAAGATACTGGAGTGACGTAAATCCCCATTGGTACAGGGAAACTCATTCACAAATTCCCCAGAAATTGAATGTTTGGGCTGGTATTCTGGGAGATCATATTGTAGGTCCATATTTTATTGACGGTAACCTCAACGGACAAAAGTATCTTGATCTTCTTGATACAACTGTGAACCCCAGAATCACTGAATTACTTGAAAACGATGATGGTCTACTTGAAGTTCAGCTCACCTTTCAACAAGATGGAGCTCCTCCACATTTTGTTGCACCTGTACGTCAATTTTTAGATGACAATTTCACAGGGAGATGGATTGGAAGGCGAGGATCAATAGAATGAGGAATGATTTATCACCATTAGACTTTTTTTTATGGGTTCATTTGAAATCCAAAGTTTATATTACACAGCCAAATTCTCTTGATGATCTACGCAGGAGAATTGTTGTAGAGTGTCGTGCAGTGACTCCAGAAATGTTGAGAAATGTGCGAAGACATTTCGAAAATCGCTTATACTTCTGTATGGAACTGAATGGTTCACATTTTGAACCTTTCATATGATGATAACATTTTAGGTGATGAAAAATAAAAATATCTTGATAAAACTTAGTTTTCATTAAAACTTTAACAACACTTGATCGATCCTCAATTTCAGTACACCGATGTATTTGGGATTAAATTCCCTTTAAAATGATGTATCACAAGTAGTCCCATTGAAAATTTTGAAGTAGGGGGTTCTGGGGATGAGGGGGTTGACAACACAATGATGATGTATTTGGTGAAAGTGTTCCCCCTTGAAATAAAAATCGCCAGGTCTGAGCGATTTTCAATTTTTTTCACGAGTTTGGAGATTAGGGGGGTGACAAGTTTTAGCTGGGACACCCTGTATATAGAGACATTGCAATGTTAATATTTCCAAAGATTTAAACAAATTCTTGCAAGATGTCCTATAGTAGGAACCAGTTATACATTTCACTATTTTCTTCTGAGTTATAAATACTTTCACACTATATAAAGCGTTTCCCCAAAAAATTAGTCCGTAGGTTAATAATGACTGTACCAGCCCAAAATAGGCTAACCTTAATACATTCAGAGAAGTTGTATTGTGAAGTTGTCTAAAGATAAAACAAAAACTGCTCATCCTTGAGACCACCTTGTCAATGTCCTTCTTATGTAAGCAAGCTTCTGGTCTAGAGTCACCCCTAGATATAAAAAGTTTGTCATCTGTTCTATCGTTCTATGATGAAGCCTAATTAATAGGCAGAAGTCATATCTGTGTTTTTTTGAAAGATCATAAATACTGTTTTTGTTATGTTAATTAGCAGCCCATTATGTAAGCACCAGTCCGAAAATTCTTCTACATTGGAGTTTGCATACTCAGCCGATAAAGCAAGTTTATGCTCAGCCACTATGTGGCTCGTATCGTCTGCATAGATTACTGTTTTTTTGGCTTTTTTACATGAATGTGTGAGGTCACTGACAAAAATAATAAATAATAGCAGGGCTAGTGTCGAGCCCTGTGGTACTCCCATGTTAATATCTTTGGGCTGTGATTTTATGGAATCTATACTGACTATTTGACGTCTGTTGTTTGAATAACTAGAAATCCAGTCGCTAGCCACTCCTCTGACTCCCATTCTAAAGAGCTTCTCAATGAGTAAGTCATGATTGACTGTATCGAATGCCCTAGTTAGGTCATAAAATATGGCAACTGGGCACTGCTTTCCATTCAAATTGTCAATTATGGAGTTATAAAGTTCATCTATTGCTGTTGATGTTGATTTTTTCTGTCTAAAGCCGTGTTGGCAACTGGTAATTAACTTGTGCTGTGAGGTAAAATTATTAAGCTTTACATAATAGGCATAATCGATAACTTTTGCAAACTGGGACTGCAAACATACATTTCTATAATTACTTACCTCCTGCTTTGACCCTTTATTTTTGAAAATAGGCTCCGACTTAGACGTCTTTAGCTTTTCAGGATATTTCCCTGTGAAAAAGGAATGATCAATTATATATGACAGTGGTGCACAAATTATGTCACTTGCTGTTTTTAATGTTCTTCCATCAATTTCATTAATACCTAAAGTATATTTCTTTGTTACTCTGTTAATAATGGTTTGTATTTCTGTTTGAGTTGTAGGATACAGAAATAGAGAAATATTTTCAATAGGTGCTAGCTTCAAGTCTCTATTTGGTGTGACTTTTTTTATATCTATAAAAAAATCATTAAAGTTATCGGCCACTACTTGTTTATCTGTTACAGTATTGTTGTTCATGTTTATTTCAAAAGGTGATCTAGAACTTGTTTTATTTCTACTCTCATTTATTTATGACACTAATGCATAATCGAGCCTTTAAATCATGAGCAACGAGTTTAAGGCCGCGACGCGCAGCGGAGTGGCTTTAAGTTGCTATAAGTTGATTATCATTCGACGAAATATATGGTTGATGTTTTTTTATGATCTACACACATTTTAGAAACTTTTAGTCTACTAATTTTCTAACCATAACGATAGAAACCTTCACTAAAATACTCAAAAAACTAGCTCTCTAGGAAATTACTCTAGAAAAATTCACAAAAACACTTAACTACATGCACATGTGGCGATGTCAGACACGGAACTATTTCTCGTCTTTCAGTTTCGGTGCGATAACTGAATAATCTTTTTCTCAAACTGAAGGATGTGACATACATCCCTTGAAAATAAAGGCCTCTTGCCAAAACTTTAAAACTGTTCTATAAAATAACAAACGTAATAGAAAATATAAAATGAAAATGGAAAAATATTGAAATTAATTTAGAAAATAACGAGCCAATAATAGTTTATTGCTTCGACCAAGAACCGAAAGTTAAGGTATTTGACCCATTGCATTTTAAAGTAAGGGTTCTAGAGACACACCTGAGGTTACTTGAAATAAGATAGAATAGAGGTGTTTGACTATTTTTTTTAGAGTTTTGA